CTGCATGGGAAGAAGATTCACCCCACTTGCATTGTATAGATCAAATTCCCCTCCCCCCTTTCAGTTCCAAGAGCAAGGGCTACCAACTCCGGGGGAGAATGCAGAAATTAACTGAGCTAAGTCTTAGCAGCCCAGCAGCTAGTGCCTCCCCCTGTTCAGCTGTGCATGATCTAACACAGAACTGCTCTGAGCTGTTCCAACATGGCTTGGAAAGCACGTGCTTCCAGAGAGACATGATGGCCCAGAACGCAGCTCATCATTAAGGTCAGGAGGAGAAAGCAGAGTACTAGACACAAAAGCCTCAAGTACCAGAAATGACACTCATTGTGTGTCAGTAATTATGAGACATTGTACTGGAGTTTCCTAAAGGGTTTTCAATTAATACTTCTTTTCCCATGAAGATCCTTCAACTGTATTGTTCCTTTCAGAAAGACACAGGCCCCCGTATTACAATCAAATTAGGACTAAAATGGCCAGATGTGTCTCAAAATCACAATGATGAAAACACGTATTTCACTCCATTCCTTTTGCCACTGTTCAGCCAACTTCAGTATAATCTTTGTTCAGATTCTGGGCACTGGAAGACACTAATTATATATATAAGGTTAACATGAGGACCTACAGTGTATGAACCAGATAGATTTATTTTTCCTCCAAACTTTATTTTTATTGTTAGATAAATCCAGTAAGGATTTATAAGTGAAGATGGTCATTCATGTACATCAAATTCAGAGTACCATTACACTTCTTAGGACAAATTCTGAACTTACTATTGTGTAAGATCAAAGCTACTCCACTGCAGTCAGCAGAGGTACTCCACAGTAGTGGAAATCAAAATCAAAATTTCATTGCTTATACTTGCTCTTTGATATGACCAGGTATACAAGCAATTTCAATAGTGGACAAAAGAGGAGTTTCAATCATTACAAACCTCACTTGAAGTGGGATGGCTAGTTTTTACTATTTTGCCATAACTACCCATCATCTCTTTCCTACCATAATCTTTTGCATCTTAACAATGAGAGGTAGAGATTTTTATTGGATCTGGACCTTTAATAACAAAGGCATCCTTCCATCAAGAAGACGACAAGTGAAAAACAGAATCACAATTAATTTTTATACTGAAGCTACTGTAATAACATAGACATACATTTACCACAGCAAAAATCAAATTCCTTGGTATAAAAAAAATCATACTTGTTGGCAGTAATATATGGAGATTTCCTTAGTTATACTAACTACAGCTATCTCATAGAACGATTTCATCTTAAACCATAGTTGTCTTGCTAGAATGAGACCACCTGGCAACCTTGTCAGCCCAGATTGTGAAGCTTCTGCAATTGCCATATGATGTAATATGGAACCATTAGGTTTTGCTCCATTCTTTCAGGTTTATGTCTGTAAGAAATCTTGGTTCTTTTGCAAATATACCTTATCATGGTTTTTAAAATACCTATATAATACCTCAAAATTAACCTAAACATAGAAAAGCTGGTATTTTGAATCCCTCTAACTTCAACTTTTCATGACCATTTTATTTTGTAAAGGAGAACACAAGCTCTGATTGTAATCTCCTGTTGTAATTAATGATTACAATGTTCTCCTCTACGGTATCAGATTTAGCACCTCATTAATGTGTATGGTATTTTGCTTGTACGGCGCAGCTGTAGTTAAAGTTGAATTAGTGTTTCCATTATAAAACCATGTTTTCAAGGGTTTATTACTCAGTCATAGAAGATTTACTTTGAAATGAAAATTGCCACAGAGTGCTTCAGCTTGGCAGCAATTTTAAGCCTTCAAAATTTGGGAGGGAAAAAAAATCCACCCTGTTTATTAATAATTCACATTTTAAAAGGCACCGTAAATATATGTTTGCATGATAGTCTTTGACAGCTCTAAAGAATTTCGACACCTACACATTGCTGAGAGATGTGTCATTTAAAAAAAAAGCCACACTCTTCTACTACTTGCCAGGAAAAAAATAAAGACTTAAAAATAATACTGTTAAATTTCTTTTAATGCAGAAAAATCTAAGCTCAAGTCATGTTAAATTTATGACACAGAACCCCAAAAGAAAAGGAAAAAATAGATCAAGCAAGCTGAGCCCTCCTTGTGTGAGAGCCCCATTTGTTATTGAAAAGATTTACTGGCATTTTAAACTAAATATATAAGTAGTCCCACTGACTTCCATGTTAACAGGGTTAGGGCCTTCTGTAAGTAATCTTGAAGGCTGGGCATCTTGTCCCATCATTTAAAAGCACGCTGAAAGATTTATTCAGGCAGATAAACCCAAACACATGCAAAATGCAAATGACTGTGGAAGCAAATCTGAGAAAAAACATTAAAGACAAGTAAAATTCTAACCTAACAGCCTTGGCAACACCTCTTTAAGTACAGATCTATATGTGTGGATACATTTTAAAATATTTATTGTAGAACTTTCTGATACTTGACAGGTATCTTTATGAACTGTCCCCTATTAATGCATTAAAAGTCCCTTACAGAACATTTACTTAACTTTTTTCCTCCCACCATAACATTTAGGAAGCTAAAGGCCAAATATGCATGCAGTTCTGCCCCAATCACCTCCCACTGAAACACCTATGGTCAGATTATTCCAAAGGGTTTAATACTCCCAATATAGCCATGTATTCAGGTGCCTAGGAGCAGAGCTTTTCTGGAAAAAAAAAAAACAGTCTGGTTCGGTTGCAAGAGCTGCAAATTCCAGGTGACATACCAACATTCGGAGGCAAAACAAGAAAAGTAAAACCTTCCATACATGACTCCATCTCATATATATTTCTGGAATGGGACTAACACAGGATAATCGGTATGACAGCTAACACAGGGATGTCAGGATGGAAACTTAGGAGGAGTCCTGTGGCACCTTAAAGACTCAGGACAAATCTAGACTTGCAGGAAGATTGATGATGTGGCAGTTGATCTTCCAGCGTTTGATTTAGTGGGTCTACTAGACCTGCTAAATTGAACACTAAGGTCATCCCATTCCGCGCCAGTACTTGCAGGGCCGGCTTTAGGAAGTGCGGGGCCCAATCTGAACCAAATTTTGGTTGAGCAAAAATACCAACAACCCAGCACACAAAAAAACAACTCACAGCCCCTTTAAATCCCCAGCTACAGGGCAGAGTCCCGCCTTCCAGCCAAACCCACGGGCCGACTTCCTGTCCTGCGGTGTACAGAAGCCACCGCACTCCTCCTCCAGGGCTGACGCCCCCTCCCACACACTTCAAGGTTTAAGGCGTGGGGCCCTCTGGCTTTAGGGCGCTGGGCCCTTTTAGGCACGGGGCCCGATTCCGGGGAAATTGGGCAAATCGGTCTAAAGCCGGCCCTGAGTACTTGCTATCACGAGGAGTAAGGGAAGTTGACAGGAGTGTTTCTCCCGTCAACCTTCTACTGTGAGAATGGTGCAGAAGTTTGGCTTAAGGTACATCGACTCCAACTACGTTTTTTAGGTATTTGGAATTGCATACCTTCAGCTGACTTTCTCCCCGCAGCATAGACCTGGCCTAACAGATGTAATTGGGCATAAGCTTTCATGGGCAAAGACCTGCTTCATCAAATGCATTAGAATGAGACAGAGGCAGGCATAATATACTAGCATATAGAAAGAAGGGAGTTACTTTATCAAGTGGAGGAGCAGTACTAACTAGGCCAACTCAGTCAGGGTGCATGTGGCTCCATCCCAACAGTTGATAAGGATGGGTGACTACCAAGGGAGGGAAAATCGCTTTTGTAGTGAGCCAGTCATTCCAAGTCTCTATTCAATATCAGATCAATAGCGTCAAGTTTGGGAACGAATTCTGCCGTTTCTCTTTGAAGACCGTTTTCCATCTTTCTTTCTTGAAAGATGGTCATTTTTTAAATCTCTTACTGAGGTTTAGTCAGGGAGGCTGTGTCTAGACTGGCAAGTTTTTCCAGAAAATCAGCCGCTTTTCCGGAAAAACTTGCCAGCTGTCTACACTGGCTGCTTGAATTTCCGGAAAAGCACTGACGATCTCATGTAAGATTGTCAGTGCTTTTCCGGAAATACTATGCTGCTCCAGTTCGGGCAAAAGTCTTTTTCTGAAAGACTTTTGCGCAAAAGGGCCAGTGTAGACAGCACAGTACTGTTTTCCGCAAAAAAGCCCCGATCGCGAAAATGGCGATCGGGGCTTTTTTGCGGAAAAGCGCATCTAGATTGGCCACGGACGCTTTTCCGCAAAAAGTGCTTTTGCGGAAAAGCATCCTGCCAATCTAGACACTCTGTTCCGAAAATGCTTTTAACGGAAAACTTTTCCGTTAAAAGCATTTTTGGAAAATCATGCCAGTGTAGACGTAGCCGGAGACTTTAGTCAGGGAGACTAAAGCGTTCTACCGGCTTGATGTCTGATTTGTGTCCATTTATTCTTTTGCACAGAGACTGTCCAGTTTGGCCAATGTACATGGCAGAGGGGCACTGCTGGCACATGATGGCATATATCACATTAACCTGCCTCTGTAATTTACACTCCAATACATCTGGCAAAGTGGGTCTTTGCTTACAAAAGCTTATGCCCAAATAAATATTTTAGTCTTTAAGGTCTCACAGGACTCCTCGTTGTTTTTTGCAGATACAGACTAACACAGCTACCCCTGAGACTGGAGCAAATAACATTATTACTGATCTGAGGAAATGCCAGCAGTGCCCAGGTTTTTCTGTTCTTTGCGCTTTCAAAGCACTTCCACAAGATAACAATGGGAAAATGTGTTTTTGCCAACCTATTCTTCCTTTTTTCAAGAGAACATTGCACAAGAATACAAAGATGATGGGTCCCTCGTAGCAACTGTGTATTCATTATATCTGCTGTTAGAGGTTACACCACTGCACCTAAAGCCCCAGCTATTTTCCACGCAAACAACACTGGACACAATAAAATGGCTCTACTCTCTTCTTAAATCAAAGCCTCAGTGAGTTTCTGAGGTACTGAGATCAAAGGTACTGAGATAATGATGATGCTTACCCAGGCCCTCATGAACTCCAGACCTCTCTTTGTAGTGTTTTCGTCTCCCTGGTTTCTCCAAGCATGGGAGTCCACCTATCTTTTCGAAGCACAGTTTCTTGTTGATTAAGAGGAAAAGAACGGTGAGGAGGACAATAAAGACTCCAACTGCAGACAAGAACCCAATGGCTTCTGGAGTAACTAGTGATAAAAACAAAGAAATAAAATATTATTGCAACAGGAAATGCTAGCCCCTAGCGAAGTCTGGTTGTTCCACCTCCATACCCACACCCCACACCCATACCCTCCCAAATGTGTAAGCCAAATTCATCAGAATGCAGCCTATAGCAAGTGGGCCAAATCTACCAGTGACACAAACAATAGGATAAATTACACAATGGGTCTGATTATGTTCTCCTTCCAGGTCTGATTCATATAACCCATTGAAGTCAATGGAAAGATTCCAACTGATTGCCACAGGCTTTGGATCAATTAATACAGCTCTGCATGTCTGCGGATATCTCTTTTATAGCCATGGGTATCCACATCTGCGGATGTCAATGTGGATATCCACAGTTCATTTTTGCAGATACAGATGCAGATACAAATTTTGTATCCGTGCAGGATACAATTGTATACACCAGTTCAATACCATTACCTTCAATAGGGTTACTCCCAATTCAAACAGGTGCAATCAGGATCATTAAGGGTAAGTTGGTCTTAAAGCATTCATACACTACTACATGCAAAGAGGGAGAGCTATGTGCAAAGAAGGTGGCAAAACAGTATTCATCTTTTCAAACTGGAAGGAAATCGAAGGAGAGATCTAATTTTCCTTAGGAGGAAGTAGTTGAACCCCTTGGCAGACGAAGAGGTACCGAAGACAAATTCCTTTGGAAATTGTTTACACTTTCTCCAAAAATACATAAGACCAGCACAAATGGGCAATGTCTCTGCTACACAAGAATTCCTTTGCTATTTACTAAAAACCTGGTACATGTGTCTGTCTCTACAATGTCCCCCATTAAAATGTTTTTCCTTCCTTAAGATAAGACACAAACTCCAGAACCAGGATCTTAATGATACAGGGTCATATTCTGAGCAGGTGTTACTCACTGCTGACTTTGGGCTTTGCCCTAATTACAGGTTGAACCTCTCTAGTCCAACAACCTCAGGACTGGACAGGTGCTGAACCAGAGAATTTCCCAGACCATGGCAGGTCAATATTGTCTTGCTGCATTACCAACACTTCCACTGGTTGCTAGGCTCTTAGAAGACATTTAGTAGTAAATTAGAGCTAAATAACAGCACAGAACGCTGAGAGCCAGGACTGGTGACTGTAAACAAACTTGGCCACACTTAAAATAAGTGGACTTCTGGCTAACTAAAATCATGCTGGACCACAGATGTTGACAGACCAAAGAGTACAGGACTAGAGATGTTAAACCTGTAGCGACATCACTGGATCTTACCAGCTGAGAAGGTAGCCCTGTAAGGCAACACTGCCATGTTAAACTGCAAAGAAGCATTTTCTTATTTCTGTTTCTTGCATTCTGCCTGTGCCATTGGCGCTGGAAAGAATTAATAGATGCTAGCAGGAAAGCTTTTAAAGCAGTCTCACATCACACACGCTGAAGTGCCAAAACCAAGGACAGACATTACGTAGATCATCTGGTACAGGTGGCAACAGTACACATCTCAAAAAGTGTAAGCACCATCTGCAAAATAATTCAGCAGATTATTCCAGTAATTACTAAATTAACTTCAGATGGCTGCGAAGTTCAGTTATACAGTTCAACTCAAAGACCCTATAAAAATGAAACACTGGTAGCATATGGTGCTTTTGAAACAACGGCTCAGTGAAGAGACTGGCAGCAAGAAACAAGAAAACCAGAGTCAATGCGCGTATCCTGTACCCAAGTAGATGTTTACAAGATTTGACTGAGTAGGAACTCCAGGGTGAAGAGAGCTGAATAGGCTTAAATTCTTGTACTGAGCAGTGGGACCACAGGAGGGAGAATTACAAACAACAGACTGATGTGACTAATTAGAAACAAACAAAAAAAATCACAACTTCTCAGAGACATGCCACACTGGAAAACCATCAGCATTGTTTGGAATGAAACTCAGCAACGTCGAGACATGCCACGGTCAAGAACAAGCTGTCAGGTCGATTCTGATCTTGCTCACACTAGTCTAAAACAAAGCAGTAGCTCCACCAAGTTGACAATTTACTTGCCCTCTTCTGCCTAGGCACTAAGGCACGTAACGGGCCTGACTCTGCAAGATAATTCTGACCTTTCCTGTCAGTCCAGCAGCAAAAAGGGTTGGTCTGTAAAGATAGCAAATCTCTCAGCCAAGAAGTCATTCATGTAAAGGTTACCTTGGATGGCTTTCTGTGTCACGGCTCCCCTAACCCTTCTGCATTCCTTGGCATAAGGGGTATGGTCAAGAAAGTGGATAGGATGGGGCAGTGCTATTGTACTCCTACTATTTTCACCTGCTGCAACAGCTGTTAGGTGCTAAGATAAGATAAGCAGAAGAGAGAGCAGCCTTGTGCACAACACGGGAATAGGAGGAGGCGCAAGGCCAGCATGAAGCCTCCTTTGAACGTCCCCCACTCGACCCCCGCCTTCTCGGACATCAGAGCTGACAGGAGAAAGAAGCTTCCAATCTGTCAATGCTCCCAGGTTCTAGACCCTGAGCGTGGATAAGTCAACCTGAGTCCTCCAGATGAGTCTCCATTCGCTGGCTTCCTTATTCTCCCACTGATAGGGTGCTGTGACAGGGCGCTCGCCCTGCACTGGCCCTTTAAGGGCAGACCCCGGCCTGAACCAGGGCCGGGGAGATTAGCCCAGCTGAGGCTGTACTAGTCCATTAGGGCCCAGCTGGGCGCTATAATAGAGGATGGGCTGCTGCTGTGAGAGGGAAGCAGTGAGAACCTGGCTGCTGAGGGAGGAGGAGGCTCCCTGGAGCTAGGGCAGGGCTGGGGGAGGCCAGGCAGGGCTAGGGGAGCTCTGGCCAGCAAATCCTCAGACTGCAGGGCTTGAAAGAAGGCCCGATGAAGGAACATCGAGCCCCAGAAGGGGGGCTCAGAGACAGACTTGGGCACTGCCGGAGGGCAGTGTGGCGAAGAGGACGCCGCAGCCGGGAGTAAAGAGGGGAGACACCACCCCAGAGAAGGCACCCTACCTGCCGAGGGAGCCAATTCCTGAGGACAGACGGCAGGGGGGTTACGGTGGTGAGTGAACCCCCTCACAGGTGCCCAATCTGCCTTTGATGGTGTAAAGAGCATGCAGTCTAACTCTGCTCAGAGCAGGTGTAAATATCACGGTGATACACACACCTATGCTGCCTTGTCTACAATCACTGCACCCTTTGATGGGGCTTCCAGGTTGCTCGCAGAAAGGGTCAGCTTCCCAGAAGAATAACATAGTGCAGACAAAGACCCCTGGCCTTCACTTTGTGGTCTGTGTAAAGCAACTTTGTACTGTGGCTCTCTGAAGGAACTGTTGGGACACTCAGGAACAAGCTCTGACTTGGGACCCATCCAACAAGGGTGCAGCTGCTCTAAGAGTGGAGGAGGTTATGTTTGACAAACAGGTGTGAAATGCCCTTTCTCTTACACTGGACAACAGAGTGTGGATACCTGCCTGTTTGCTGCCGGGGCAAAAAGGGCAAGACTTGTGGAGAAAGTGGAGGGCATCCATGATGCAGTGGATGAATTTATTCCAGCAATAAACCGCAATAAGGGTTATGTGGAAAACCAGGGCCACTCTGTTCTCCCCTTTACCCAGACAGACTAGTTCAAAAGTGGGAGGCAACTGTCATCAGAACTCATCAAAAGCGTCTCTTTTTCTGCATGTGGGAGCTCTCCCGCTGGAGAGTCTACAGTGAAAAATCTTATTCCAGTTCATCACAAGCTGGCCTCCCAAGGGTTAAATTCTGAATCAAATCTTATTTCAGACAATGGTTCTTTAATTCCAATTGATTCCAAGCTTTCTGCCATACGAGTGTTTACTGGTACTTTTTAATTACACCCCCCCCCAAATTGTCTGTTTTACTGTCTGCGCTAATAACATTTCATTATATATTTGGAGTAAGCTATTATTTTCCTGCTGGTTCCCATGGCATTCTTCATTATCAACTGCTAATTGTCTAGCATGCACACAGGACTGTGAACTAAGTAGGCTGCTGTGTGGGCAGAAGTTCCAGGGAATGCTGCGTGGCATTAGAAATGAGCATTATTATTATTGTGGTGTATTAGAAAGTTTCCACCTACTTGCATGCCCACATAATTTGCTGCACATCATCCCTATCAACAAAGTCACTGTGCAACGAAGCACAGGAGGCCAGCGGTACGGCACTTTATGCTTGGCAATCAGCAGCAGCTACTGAGGGAAGATGGTGCAGGGCCAAATAACTACAGCAGTGACAGTGGAGGAACAGGTCTGCCAGTGGAGTAACGAAAGCAGAGAGGGCCTGCGACAAAGTTCCATTTATTCTTTGCCTATAGTGCACCAATCTCAGGATACAATCTGGGAACACCCCATCTGCCTGCAGGCCGGGGTCAAATTGATAAAAGGGAAATAGTGGAATGCATGCATTCTGGAGTGAATTTACAGAACTAACAACTGTCTCGAGGGGGTTGTTAGTCAGGGCTAAATGCTAATTCGACTTTAACAACATCCTGAAGAATCCACATCTCTGGGACCTCAAGAAGTGCTCAGGAGGCTATTAAAGCACCCAGCAGAGTACTGTACAGAGAATTCCACAAATTTAGGTCAAGACAGAGTTGTAGGAGCAACTTCCTTACAAAGCAAACTGCTATACCGGGGAGCACACATGACTGATGCTCTGAGCCGCGGTTATCAGCATGGAGCAGGTGGCACTTTTGTTCATGTGCGCTGCATACACAATGTACAAACACTTCAGAAATAAAATGTGTGTTTTCACAGGCTTGCAGCTCTCTTCTGATATCCATCTGAAATAAGACAGAGCCTGACCCTTCACAGCCGCTCCCGCTCCGGGATGAAACGGTTGCATAACTCTTCTGTAAATATATTACCAGAAATTAAATCAAACAGACCAAGTTCAGCTGTAGAATGGGAGGGTACAATTCCCATTTCAGGTAATCTGGTTTACATTTTCTTAAGGCTGAATTAGTCTCAATGTATTTTTATGCAATGCTTCGTGCCCGA